AATTCATTAAGCAAAGGAAGATGAGTCATACAGTTATAAATCTTGAAATATAAGCACTGCAGTCTGCCTCTGGGATGATTCTGTTTCTAGATGCTCCTTCCTGCTGGCTTAAAACAAATTTTAAAACGGGAAAAGATTAATCTGCATGGCACATTAATGGTGATCTTTCATTTACCTTTGAGTTCCAGCTGCCTTTTCTAGAAAATTCTAAGAGAATTTAATGGAGAAGCCTATTTCATTGATGAGCATTTCACAGTGAAAGAGAAGTACTCGTGAGAGTGAGGTAGCTATAGTGTATCTTCAGAATTTCATTTGAGCGACTAATATCTGTTGTTAAGATTTATAATCTTCATTCATTTTAAAAATGAGTAGCAGGAGCTGGGCATTGGTGTCGCACACCTTTAATCCCAGCACTCGGGAGGCAGAGGCAGGTGGATCTCTGTGAGTTCGAAGCCAGCCTGGTCTACAGAGGGACTTCCAGGACAGGCTCCAAAGCAATACAGAGAAACCCTGTCTCAAAAATCAAAATAAAAAAGAGAGCAGAGAGAAGAAGGCTGGAAATTCAAGGGTAGTAGTGACTCCTAACACAATTACTGTCTACAGAGTTTTATTTTTAAATTTTTTGTCAATCAAGAGAAACTTATCTGTGTGAGGAAAATTGTTGATATGAGAATTTGGTTAATTTTCTTTGAGGAAAAAGAGAAAATTAGGAAAAGAAGTTATGAAAATATATGTTATTTTGCCTAGATCAGTGATACTTAAAATTTTCTTTTCACTCAACACCAGCCAGCCAAATTCTTCACTGACCCAGAAACTGTGTGTATCTCTGGGCAGTTTCTGTGACCATCACCTTCTAGGTGATTTGCCTGTGTGTTTGATTTTGAGAAGCACAAATTAGGCGAGTTTGTAAGAAAGCCAATCATAATTTTATGTTAAACTCCCCTAAAATAACATTGCTTCATCAGACTGTTTGATGCCCCCCCTGCTGGAAGGCAGTGTGGAGCCTCTTCTGTTCTTGTCCCACTGTCACCCAACTCGTGAGGCCTTTGTAAGTTCAGTTCAGGACACACTTCTTTATGCATCAAAGTTACCTCTGGCATAATTGGCAAGTGAGATCTATGCAGCACAGCCAAACCTCCTAATTCCAAAGAACAAGTCCTAGGCCCCACTGAAGCAAAGTTACTTCAAGGTTACATTTAAAAGGCTCCATTAAACAAGAATGTACCTTAACCAAAAATAAACAATTGAGAACGACACAGGGCTCACTAAACACGAGTCAGCAAAAGCACATTATATATGCTTATTGAGAGAAAAATCACTCAGTACATCATATTTGATTAGGGAAGTACTTTTTACCCAGATTACACTGTTTAAACTTGGTTTGCTTATCATTCCAATTCTATGACTTCAGCCATAATCTATTCCTCATCTTGGTCCTGAATAGAAAATCCTGTTTACCCACCCATCTATATACTTGTTTACTCAACAAGTGATTCAGGTATTTTCTTGACGTTCGGGAGACATACATGTGGCTGTGGGCTCACCCTTCCCACCTTCGCTGCTGTGTTTAATTCATATGTGAAGGTCACTGCAGCCTGGTTTCTCCTCACCATTCCACAGCATCTCTCTTTATCAAGCCATTGCAGACTTCCTGCTGATCCCCCGGATTCTCTCAGAGGCTGTTCTCCCTGCAGATTTGGACTCCACTAAGCACCTGTCTCCCTGGAGTTACAGCCTTAGGTTAATCCCTCTCCCCTACCCATTTAATCATTTTTTCCCCATGTTTTTAAGTGAGAAACAAGATTGTTTTACATGTCAATCCCAGTTCCTTCTCCCTCCCCTCCTCCTCTGCCCTCCAATAACACCCTACCTATCCCATACCATTTCTGCTCTCCAGGGAGAGAGGTCTTCCATGGGGGGCCCTCAGAGTCTGTCATATCCTTTGGGATAGGGCCTAGGCCCTCTCCTGTGTGTCTAGGCTGAGGGAGTATCCCTCTACGTGAAATGGGCTCCTAAAGTTCATTCTTATGCTAGGGATAAGTACTGATCTACTATAAGAGGCCCCATATATTTCCGAGGCATCTTCACTGATATCCACATTCATGGGGTTTGGATCAGTTCCATGCTGGTTTCCCAACTGTCAGCCTGGGGACCAAGAGCTCCCCATTGTTCAGGTCAGCTGTTTCTGTGTGTTTCACCAGCCTGGTTTTGACCCCTTTGCTCATCACTCCTCCTCTGCATTTGGATTCCAGTTCAGTTCACTGTTTAGCTGTGGGTGTCTGCTTCTACTTCCATCAGCTGCTGGTTGAAGGCTCTAGGATGGCATATAAGGTAGTCATCAATCTCATTATCAGGAGAGGGCATTTAAGGTAGCCTCTCCACTGTTGCTTAGATTGTTAGTTGGTGTCATCCTTGTAAATATCTGGACATTACCCTCGTGCCTGATTTCTCTTTAAACCGGTACTGCTCCCTCTCTGATGGTATCTCCTATTTTGCTCTCCTCTGTTCTTCCCCCACACAACCTTCCTGCTCCTTTATATCCTCCTCACCCCTCTTCTTCCCTTCTCATTCTCCTCTTCCCTCCCCCAATGCTCCCAATTTGCTCAGGAGATCTTGTCCCTTTCCCCTTCTCTGAGAGACCGTGTATGTCTCTCTTACTTTTCTGTGCTTTTCATTAAAAACCAGTCTTCTGTGCAATTCTTACCCAGGTCTCATTCTCTTTTCTCCAAGCTGCTTTTGTTTAATGAATGAATCCACCCACTCCTACACATTCAATTACTTCCACTCACCACAATAGGACCATCAGTGACTCTCTGTTTTTCTTCACCTTTGACCTGTATCTCCAAGTCCATTAATTGTAACATACCTAAAAAGAACAGAAGTTCTTCTATGGAGGCTGTCTTTTTCCTATTTATTCTTTTATTAAACAAATATTTGCTGAGGGGTTGCCATCTGCTAGGCACTGTGGTTCTCAGTTCTGAATCTGTGACTGTGAACAAGACCAGCATGATTTTTGCCCTCATAGAGATTTCTGTCTCATAGAGGCAAATGAGAAACAGTTTGCAAATAATATGGTAAATAACGTAGGATTTGGAAGCTAGAGAATGATATGAATATTATTTATGTGGGAATATTTATCATTGGTCTGGAAGGAGCAAAGCAGAGAACCTTATAGACATTATAAATAACAATTGGTTGAGTGGATGGAAGACTAAGAGCCCTGCCCACCATCTACTAGAAAGCATCACATAACTGATCTCACTGTTCT